CTTAAGTTTCGTCGGAACGAAGTTACGGAAAATCAATTAACAAACGGAGACGTAATTTTGTTACATTATTTTCGAGTCTATTTTCAGTGGGGACACAGATGTGACATCAGGATTACTATGTTGTATTATTGTGACAATTGTACCATAGAATTGGTTTTAATCATTGCATAATGAATCAGTATAATATAAGGCAGAAAAATAATTATTTCCTTTCTTAATAAATATAGGTAGAGCAAAACCTTCAGCATCTTCCAGTCGTTTGCATACAACTGATAAAATACTTGATAAGCTTATTATTAACCACGGCATAACTGCTCATAGAATGGCTCTAAGTTTTATTTCAAGTACAAACATTTAGCCCATAGCTCCGTCAACTCATGATCGATATGAGATCTAATTACAGTATTGAACTCAGGAGGTCAAACCCTTTCGACTGATTATTTTATCACGCCCAAAGTCTGATAGATTACTTTATTCTAATCCCGCCTAAAAAAGACTGGTAGAGGTCCTAATGAGTAATAAAATCGAATCAGGATACGCGCGCCCGACGTTTGGTATTGCTGGCGCACAAGAATATAGCTAATGAAAAGGGGAAAAGGTCTCATAGATTAATTTCAAGTGCCACGGCTACGGAGGATTTCCTCTTGTTTGATTATGATTGTGGTATGATACAGTCTTAGTAACCCGAATGATTCAGTAATTATATTCTGCTCAATCTCCGATCGCTATGTAGTAGTTATAGGTGGCGCTAAATTATTTGAGTTACTGTTTTATTAGAGTGGAAATTTAGGACGTACGTTGCGGTACTGAATACCAATAGCAACAGTGACGTATGATTAACTGGTCTAGTCGTTCTTAGTCTTAACAGTTGGAAAGAAAAGGCTTAGTTTGTTTTCAAAACGGCAATGTCAGAATTCAAGGATATCGGATTAAATGATCCTGAAAACAAACGCGCTCATAGTGCTAATAGCGACATGGACAAGTTAACAGATGATTTTCAAGACACAGATTTTAAGGGCGGGACCCTTTCACTTTCGCAAGACCAAGATTTGTTGACTAATACACCTTCCGCGTCTAATCCGAGCAGTGTGGCAAGTACTACACCTTTAGCTGCAGGTGAAAATGAAATACACTGTTACATGCTTTAAAAATATTTAAAATTTCATGATAACTTGAGTGCTTTGCTTTTTAAATTTAAGATTTAGAATGAGTAGATTTCTACTAGTACTAGTTCAGAAATTGAAGAACGTCCGTGTGTATTAATTTCTAATTTATCAATAAGTATTAAACAAATCATTTTAAATAATCTAATCCTATAAACCTTAATTAAAACATAAAAATATTATAGGGATAACGTTTATTTCTGTGTGATTCTGCTTGATATTACTAACAACACTTAACTCCATAACAGTAAATAGTAACATTATCACTAGTAATGAGTAGTATATCAGTGTAATGTTACTTCTAGTAACACCGTTACGACCACTGGTATTAGGCCTAGAAATTTTTTGTTGTTGAATAGTCTTAACATTAACTGTTTTATGTTTAGCATTCTTAATGTTAGTTTAGCTTTAATTAAATCTTCAAGATTTCCTAGTCTTTCTCTTACAAGTTACATCATATTTTGCAATTTCGTAAAAATTAACTTAAAATTAAGGGACATCACACTTAATTACGACCGCGATATAAACAACGAAAAAGAAAATAAAGAACTGTTAATTTCACAGCAGTACAATAACATTACTTAACACGTGTTATATGGGATTGAAAATAGTAGAATAGTAGTTCTAACTTCAAAATTTCTCATGCTGAGTGCTTGTAAGAAATCAGCAAATGGTCTAAGATGATTTTCAGGAAGAAAATTTTTTCTGAGTAGTTTCTCTTAAACTTGCTATACCAGTAAACCTATTTTTATTTCCATCAGAAAATCTAAGGATAGAACATCATCCTTTGAAGTTCTAATTTTGCTGAAAATGTGAAAACTAAGTTTGCTTAGGATTTCAACCTGTGATTTTGAGTCATTGTTTTGAATCCTGCTTCATCTCGGTTACTATTCCGTGAATAATTCTTCCATTAATAGTGTAAGTCATCAAAAGACTATGAAAAGAAGCTTCTAGAAATTGGCATCTTTTTTTTATTTCTGTCAATCAGATGCTTCATTTTCAACACATGCATGTACTACCTATTTAAGAACTCTGCTTAAGTATCATGAGAACTAAGACTTGCCGCTTACAAGATGCTCAAACTTGATAGTTTAACCATCATGCTACTGACATATTTTATATTGTTATTGCTGGTGATGATTCATGTGTTTTATAATATTGAGTAATTTTATTTTCTTATTACAACTTTCAGTTTAAAGAATTGGGTGAAATCACTCATTCTCTATGGAAAATACATCAGTAAATAATGGGAGTAATTGTAATGTTCATGGTATTTTTAGTTATATTTTGTGTGCGATTCGTATGTTATTAGAATCACTGTATCCAACAAAATCACGGATGCACAAGCAATTTGGTTGATAAATATAGTTTTATAAAATAACGCATGGTGTTTCTTTACGCTCAAACTTAAACATCATTTGCAGATAAACCCTTGATATTTCGCTATGTCGTTTGTACATTTTGGATTTGTAAGAAGTGACAGAATTCTTAATTTCAGTGTAGTATATTTTACTGTAAATGCCATTATACTAGGACAAATAAAGTATGAAGTTAGGCAGAGTAATTTCTATACTTCGCAAGATAAATAGGTATATAAACACACACAAATATGGATGTCATCTTCAGAGCACCACTGGGTTTGAAATATCGTATCTTTTTAATTATATTCCTGTTTTCAGTAGGTTGGTAGCACTTTTCCAGCTTTAACACTGCTCTTCAGTTAACCTAATTGAAATTAATACATAAAATACATATATATATATATATATATATA